GAAGAAAGGGGAAAGAAATGAACAAAGAATAGGGTCGAGAGAGTAACATAGGTTCACCTCAGGCCGCTCACAGGAAGAGGAGAAACAAAGAATTAAGATATACATGTAGGAGCTGGAGAGATAGTTCAGAGTCATAAGCACCTACCTGGCAAGCACAAGGACCTGAGTTCACTCCCTGGCCCCACATGCCATGCAGTCTCAGCCCCGGATTCCCCAGCACCCCTGATGCGGGTGTCTACCATGCAGCCCTGGAACCTGGCAAGGTGGTACACACATGTAATCTCAGCACTCAGGAGGCTGAGCCAAGAGGATCCCTGCGAGTTTGAGACCAGGCTGGGGGCTACAAAGTGAGCACGAGGCCAGCCCAAACTGAAGAGTAAGACCCTTTCTCAAAACACAACAACAACAAAAGATATATATGTACCAACTCCCTATAAGGGTAATAAACACTATGTACTGCAAACATTTGCTAATAAAAAAACTAAAGAAATTGGAAGCCGCTGGGCTTTGAACACTGGCCTCACCAATGGCCAAGTCCCTGTTCTCAACCCCTCCTCCCACTACCTCATCTGGGAAGATGATCCTGTTCTGCTCAGGGTTTTCTTTTTTTTTTTTAACATTTTTTTTATTTATGTGTGTGTGTGGCCAGCTCAGCCCACCAGGGGGCGGGGCTGGCCGGCATGTGGTGCTGGGGGATTGAACCGCAGTCCCTGTGCTTTGCCAAGCTTGTTCCAAGTAGGTGCTTTAGACCACTGAGCCATCTCACCAGCCCCTCTGCTCAGGGTTTTCTCAGGCCCAAAGATGGACTATAGAGCATAGATGCCTGAGGCCAAGGGCCACTGGCCAAGGAGTCTGTGCTGAAGGTGCACAACCCTGAAGGTACAATACCATGGCTGTCCTCAGGAAGCTGTGTGACCCTCGCTCCACTACGCATGCCCTATGGACTTATTTCCATCTCCTTGGTGCTGTGGAAGGAAAGCTGTTCTTTCACTGGCCTAATGCAAATCGGAAGGCTTCTCCATTGGGGCTTTGCACCTGTTAACAGCCCCATCCTCCAGAACCAGCCCCACTGCGACCCCCTGGGGAACAGGAACCATGCACCAACCTGCAAGTGGTTTTTTTTGTTTGTTTGTTTTTCTGCAAGTGTTTCTGAGACCTGAAATGGTGAGGTGCTGCAGAAATTGGGGTCAGCTCCTTGCAACTGAATAATTAGGGCAGGGCTCCCCTATCCAGCAGACTAGAATCTGCCAGCAGATACACAGTTCCTACTCCTTTTCTAACAAAGGCAACTCCACCACATCCCAGAATCTCCATTCCCCCTCCTCCCCCAAAAGCAGCTAAATTTAGACCCTGATCTGTCCTTTTCCTGTAGGGCGAAGGTATTTTAAGCACTCTGCAGCTTGGTGCCCGCAGGAGAGGCAGGGACTCTAGCATCGCCATAGAGGTAGACATGGCAACCCCTCCCCCCTGTCTGTCAGATGCTGGAGGCCAGAGGATCGCCCACCTTTCTGCACCCATCTCCCTACCTCCTCCTTCCTCCCTCCCTGGAGGCAGCCTGAGGGAGCTCAAGGAGTGCCTGCAGGATGCTGGGTGAGGAAGCATTCCCTGGAAACTGAGGGTCAGGAAACAGGTGCTCATAATACGCACAGGACCCTCCTGGGCACAGCCCACCCTTCCTTTACAGAAGTTATAGGGAGTGACTTAAGTTCCTTGACCTACCCTAAGAAAGTCCCCAAGGTGGGACTGGGGTGTGGAGAACTCAAAAGCATTGTTGACAGGCACACAGCTGCAGGGTGGGTTCCAGATTCAGACCAAGGGCGCAGCAGCGCTGTTTGTGTCCACCTGCCCCAAACGCAAAGGAGACTATCTGATTTGGTATCAACAGAGGAGCACGTGTTGTTCTTGAAATGATAGTTAATGTATCTGCTGCTGCGGCTCTGCTCTGCCCCAAGCACAGAGCTCTTTATCCTGCACCTTTTAAGCAGCTAATTAATTTTCACTGCAAAGTGGACTTAAGAGGAAAACAGCCTCCTGCTGGGGGAGGAAAAGCTTGAGCGATGCCAAGGGAAACATGTTTGCCATTTCTAATTAAATTGGGAATAGGTGAATTGGAAACTCTGCCAAGGCCTGAGATCCTGAAGTTTTGCCAGCTTCTATGAGGCCATCAGAAAATATCTTTTGAGGAGATTTTGAGCAACAAAATAAAATCCATTTGGACTCCTGCCTGTTGCCCTTTCCCTCTATCAGCAGACTTGGCATCTCGTCTGGTGCCAAGTGGTGTGGATGATTCCTAAACCGTGTGTGTGTGTGTGTGTGTGTGTGTGTGTGTGTGTGTGTGACAGAGAGAGAGAGAGAGAGACAGAGAGAGACAGAGAGAGACAGAGACAGAGAGACAGAGACAAAGACAGAGACTGAGAAAGGGGAGGGGTTAGCTGGCAACTGAGAACATAAATTTGGGGAAAGCGGAGTCTGGCATCTTCCCCAGGCTCTCAGCTCGCAACCTCTGCCCACCTATGGTGGCACCTCTGCCTGCTTAGCTGTTGTAGAGGGAGATAATGGAAATTTTTGACTGGATCCTGAGGCATCAGAGCCCAAGGATGACGAGGAGAAACCAAGAAGGCAACAGCTCAAGCAAATTATCAGCAGTCAGTGGTTCTGACTGGAGAGTGCTGGAAGCTGCTGTCCAGTGGTCAAGCCCCAGAAGAGGCCACACTTGGCCCAAGACAGATGATCCAACATGGCGAAGACTGGCCAGGTACTACAAATACAAGGCTGCCATGCAGCAGGCAAGGTGTGTGCATCAGAGAGGGACAGGATTCACAACCAACTTGCCCTCTCCCAAGCCACTCCCTGCCCCAACACTCAAACTGGAGGTAAATAAAGACCCTAAGTCCCAAGTCTCAGGCACAAGGTAAAAGCCTCCAAAGGCAAACAGAAACAATGGCCTCTACTCTTCTGCATGGGAAGCTGTGGTCTTGCAGACAGTACTGAGTATGGACAAAGAGAATGAGGGTGAGGGAAACAGAATGAGGGAAGAAAGGGGGTGAATGCATAGGAATTCAGGAGCACAAATGAAAAGCTCTGTTTCCTTTGAGAGCTAAAGCTCTGCATGGTATCAAGGCTGTGACCTTCAGAAACTCCAGGATAAATGTGGTGCTGTCATACAGTGACAAAACAGCCTGGCATCTAGACAGACCATGATGGAAGAGGCTGCTGCAAGGCATCTGCTTGGTCACCTCCACCCCTGATTTCCCAGGCCAGTGGCCTACCAATACAGCTCTCTCCTCCAACTAGTAAATCTTCTCTGAGAACCACACTGCCTCACTCACTCTTTCCTGCACACTACTGTGTGTCAAGCCTGATGAGAGATTTCAGACAGACCTGTGCCACTGCCTATGGGAAACACTCTTGTAGAGGTGTGACTAAGAGGCACAGAAGACATTGGGGACAGAACATGCTCAGCAGGAGGAACACTACATGCAAAGCCACAGAGCCAAGAAAGAGTCTAGTGACTTCAGGAAGTATAGACTTAGTGTGACTGTTGTGGCAAAGAAGCTAGGAGAGAGGGAGGATCAGACCCACCTGAGTAGGGGGCCAATGCACAGGAACAGCAGGCAATAGGGAGTTTCCCAAAGAGGAGGATGGCACCTGAGACCAGACTTAGGGACGGGCTGGAGTGAAGCCCAACATCAGCGACCGAAGTGGGGAGGGAGGAGCTTCTTAAAACAGACCAGGTGGGGCCAGGGAGATAGCTCACTAGAATAAGCACTTGCCTGGCAAGCGCAGGGTCGAGTTCAATCCCCAGTACCAAAAAAACCAAAAACCAAAAACCAAAAACAGAGCAGGTAAAAATGGAGAGATTAAGAGTGAAAGAGGCAGCAGCAATGGCAGCACAAGAGACAAACTCATATCTGAGAGATTTTAAGGGGTAGCAAAGACACCATTTGGACATAGAGTGGGAGAGGGAGGAATCTAAACTGGTGCTCAGGGCCTTAGGTAACTGGGTGAAGGGGAAAGGGACAGGACAATGCAATCAGAACAAAGGTTGTTGAGTCTAGGCAAAGGATGCCCAGGTGGAGATACAGCAGGTGTTGGAAATACCAGTCAGGAAAGAAGCCCAGGATAACATGAGGCCACCTGGTGGAGGTGGGGAGGTGTTGAATGACATCAGGTAGAGCGGTAGAGCAGAGGACTTCTCCACAACCAGCAACTGTGTCACAGAGAACTTGGAGGACCCTCACTGATGCTTTTTTTTTTTTTTTTTTTTTGCGGAATCGGGGATAGAACTCGGGCCCTTGCGCTTGCCAGGGAAGTGCTTATTCCACTGAGTTATCTTAACTCCCTCATTCCACAGAAAAGAACCAAGTCTTGGCTCCCCAGTGCTTCATGGGTCGGGAATAGCATGAAGGGATGCTCCTACGAGCAGTTTACACTTCTGAAATCTGGTTCTTTCTTGAACCATCTGGGGCTTACGTCAGTTCTGGGCCAGAAAATTGGGGGCCAGGCTGGGGCCACTCAGCAGCCACATCAGGGGAGCCACAGGCCATGGGCAGCTCAGTGAGGAGAGCTCCAGACTCTTTGTTCCAAATAGGAGGCAGCAGCCTTCTGTCCCATACTCCTAGGCTAAAAGCCACCTTGCAGAATGTTCCAGAAGATGCAGGAGTTGACAGTGTGCCCCAGAAGTCGCTGGGGGATCTGCTCAGGTGTCTATGGGACTCTTTGAACTGTCTGTTTTCTAGGGGTGCTGAGGGAAGTAACAGCCATCTTCCTTTCCCAATAGGTTGGTATCCTGAGGATTTACCTGGGCAGAGCACTTAAGAAACCCATTCCCCCTCCCCTCAGCCCAGTTCACACACCTGAGCAACTCTGCAACCAGACAGACTGGAGATCCTGCCACCCACACCCACAGGATCAGGCAGCTAGGAGGCAGCTCTGGAGCATTTTGGTTTTTTGACTTTTTTTTTGTTTTTTGTTTTGTTTTATTTGAAAACCCTAGGGTGTGTCCCCTCACTCGCCACACCCATCCCCTACCCCCAACCCGGGACATGACAATGCCACACACACGCACACAAGGCTGTGAGCTGCACACAGGGACACAGGGGTTGCACTCACGACAACATTGAAAAAATATACATTATATATAATACACCCAGGGCTCCTGCTCCCCACCGCCAGCCCCACAACCCAGCCACAAGCTAGTCATGGAGGAAGGGGCAGGACTGCAGAAGCCCAGGACTCCAAGGGCAGAGGGGAAAGAGGACAACTAAGGAGGGGAGCTTGGGAAAGTCAAGGAGCAGGGATCCCAAAGTGAAATGGAAGTAGAGGTGAGATCAGAATAGCAGGCCAGGCCTCGCTGCAGGTGCCAGGGAGGAAGGATGGCTCCCTGGACGGGACAGCGGAGGAGCTCAGGTGGAGGAGTCACTTGATTTTCCCCTGCCCAGCCATGGCTATCAGTGCCTCTGCCCAGTACAGGGTGAGGCTGGTAGAGGGAGATAGACATGGGGGGAGTGAAAAGGACCTCTGCCATGGGGACAGAAAGGGCTACTGGGATCCTTCAGCCACCCCAATGCCATAGGAGCATCCAGGGAAGGCAAGGCCCAAGGCAGAGGCAATGGAGGAGGAAGGGCCGGGTGGCACCAGGAGGGCCATGGGGGTTTGGAGATTGAAGGACGCTTGGTCTGATGAGCTCGCCCCTCTCGGCTCTCTTCCCTCAGAATGTCCTTTTCTGTTTCTTTCCTGGGTATCTCTGTCTCACCAGGGCAAAATTCTCTCTTGCTCTCTAGCAGAAACCTGGCCTTAGTAGCGGTGTGGGGGGCTCTCAATGATGCGTCTCTCGTCACTGCTCGGGGAGTCAGCTGCCTCTGAGTCGCTGCTGTCCTCGTCCTCCTGCTGGCCCCCAGCAACCCCTGCCACACAGGCCTGCCGATTCTGGTAAGACTGAACAGGGCAGGGACATAGGAGTCACAATCAGAGGCCTGCCTACACCCCAGAGCCTCTCCTTGAGGGGCCAGGGCTCCCACCTCCTCCCCAGTCCAAACCTTCCTCCTTCCTCCCTCCAGAGATCTGCCAGAGCTCTCACGCAAGGCCAGGGCCTTCCTGAAGGTCTTTGCTGAAGGCCCTCCTTTCCCCAAAGCCACTTACCTCCATCGGGTTCACGATAATGGTAAGGGCAGAGTCATCCCAGAAGAGGTCTGGGTCTTTGGGGTCACTGGAGGTCCCCGGGGGCCCGCCAGCCCCTGAGACTCGGCGGTGAAGGGAATGGATGCGCACGAGGCCCAGGATGACCATGAGCACCAGGAAGCCCACACACACCACAATGATGAGAGTCGCTGCACTGGGGACCACTGTAGGGAGAGCAGGAGGAGAATATGGTCCAGGTGGGGCACTGAAGGGACAAGAGGCTGCATGAGCAAGACAGGACCACCATCCACAATGGTCCTGGACAGGTCAACAGCTTGAGACACGGGAAGAGAACAGGCCCCCGGGAAGAGCAGGGAGCACAGCAGCTGCAGCGGGAACAAGAACATGTGAAGGCAAGGCCCAGGGGAGGGGATGCTCCTGGCCAGCTCTGCCATGTCAGCAGACAGAGGCCAAGGACAGAGACCACACAACCTAGAAAGAGATGCCAGAGAGAGGAGAAGGAAAGGGACAGCCACACAGGCTTGCCTGAGGCAAGAGCAGACTCCAATGCCCTCCTGGAGGAGCTACTGGTCCCAACATCCAGGGCCAAGGGGCAAGGAGAAACTCCTTCATTTACCCACCTGAACTGGCCTCGCTCCTGCTTGATGACACCTCCCTCCTCCTTGTGGGCTCCAAGCTTCTGGATGTCTGGGGCTTCTGCTCCTTGCCAGCCTCCTCCTGCAGTGTCCCTGCCTCCCCCTCAGTGCTTCCCCTCTTCCCTCCTGCCAGCCTCACTCTGATGCCCAGGTTCAGGGGAACATGGATCCTGACGGGCAGTGAGAGGCGGAAGGGCACATTCACCCTCACTCGGACCTGAGAGCTGATGGTGGAGAGACAGACGTGCATGCACAGGTATAGGCCCAGGAAGAACATGCGGGCACACAGCTGGACAAAGGCCACCACACCCCACACCTGAAGCAAGCCCCTACTGGCTTGCACACCTGCCCTCACCATCCACCTAGCCACCTGGTCAAAGAGCAAAATTAATGGAATGCGTCTCAGCATCTCCAGAAAGGTATGGAAGAGCCACAGGTGCAGGGCCACCCAGCTCCCTGCCAGCTGAGCAGACCAAGCAAGCCCCTGCAGCAGAATGTAAACACTGCAGGCTTGGGCCACAAGGGCCATGGAGGAGACAGCCATGACCACAGCCCTGCTCCCCCTCAGCACACACTCCCACAGCACCCTGAGAAGCGTGAGGAGGCAAAGCAGGGTGGTCTCCAATCCCAAGGATAGCAAATGGAGGTAGTGACCCCACAGATGCACCCATAGGCCCAGGGCCTTGGAGGGCAGCTGAGTTATGACAGGACACATGAGTCCACACCCCGTGAGACAGCTTGATCGGGGCAGTCAGTCCCTTACAGAGGGACTAGTCTGTGTGTGTGTGACACAGGCAAGCCCCTAGACACACACGTTACATTCCAGCCCAGTCCCAGATTTACCTACATCTTGAGACTTTCATGTGGAGATGGAGCAGAGCACAAAGAAGCATACGGCCCAAGAGCCCTCCACACCCTGCTGCAAGCGGCTCCTCACCAGCCACCAGCCGTTCTTGCTGTCACACACTCCAGTGCCAAGCAGGTATGTGCAGAAGGCCTTGCCTGGGCAGGACTGCTGGCACACACCTCCCGGAGGCCGCCCTGTGGGCTCGTGGCCATGTGGGTCCTAGTCCTGACCTGACCCATAGTCCACTTGAGGCCACTTGCCACACAAGCTGACACTGCCAGAGCAGTGTGGTAGGCAGGTTCCCAGGCACCAACTCCAAGGACAAGATGGGCCAGGCAGGATAAACGTTTCTCAACTGCCTGGGGATGCGAGAGGAGGGGCAAGTAGTCAGAGCTCCCCTCCCTGCCCAAATGCCTGAAACAGCTCCTCTGCTGGCTCCAAGTCAGTGGCCCCTGTGGCAAAGCCACCATCGGAGTGGGGCCACAGAAGGTGAACTTGCACTTGGGCACCAGGATCTCAAGCCAAAGCTACCAGTGCACACCTTCATCAATGTCTCTGTCCCTCTGAGCCCTGGGTTGGTAAGAAAGTGCCAGGCTGATCACCAGAAATAAGAAAGGACTACAAGAAAGACAAAAAACATTCTATAGGCAGACAAGTCTGGTTAACTAGCTTAAGATGACCTAGGAGGCCAGGGAGATGGATTTTAAAATTAGCTACAGACAAAAATCAAGTTCAATCAACCTTTCTTGCTATATTAGGTTCAATCAGTGCACGCTGTCCTTGAATGACCTCTGCAGACTGCAAGGACATTGCTGAAATCCTGTCCACAGCCCCATGTGGTTCCTTCCCTGTGAAGAAAGAGCCTCAGGGAAGTCGTCTTCCTGCTCTCAGTCATCTCCCAGGGCTTCTCTCGCAGTAAGTTGCTTCCTCTCCCATGCCTTCCTCCTTACCTCCTAATTCATTTTCTTCTTAATCCTATTTCTTTTGTGAATTTTTCCAGAAAGCTTCAGATTCTTATAGGAAACAAAGTAGGGAAAGGGTGTCCAAACTTTACTATGCACTGGAATAACATGGGGATCTTTAACAAGCACGGATACCTGGCTGTCACCCCCAGACATTCTAATGTCATTGTTTCAGGGTGTCACTTAAAAACCAAGAGTTTTTAAAGCTCCTGAGTGACTACAGGGTGCATCAAAGTTTGGGATAACTGTGTATCTTTGCTCATTCTTCTCCAATGATCTAGTTTTCCCTTAACCGCCCTCCCAGACTCTCAAATTCTCATTCTCTCCCATGCATTTCTTTTTTTTTTTAAATTATTTATTTGTGTGTGGCCAGCTCAGCCCACCAGGGGGCGGGGCTGGCTGGCATGTGGTGCTGGGGGATTGAACCAGGTGCTTTAGCTAAACTTGTTCTAAGTAGGTGCTTTAGACCACTGAGCCATCTCACCAGCCCCTCCCATGCATTTCTTGCTTGCAGAGCTTCTCTCCAAGGTCTAAGCTCAAATTCTACATATGCCACCACCCGACCATCCCACATCCCACTGATCTTTGTCCAGACCACACAGGAACCACAAAGAAACCAGTCTCCATCCCACTGGAGGAGGTTATGCCTCCTGTTGCGTCTGCATGATTAATTTGCTATTTTGAAATCATCATTCTGCAATATTACCCTTGGGCTAAGGATATGGGAGGGAAGGAAGACACGGGGAGTAAGAAAAGGGCTCTGGGTCAGGTTTGATGAAGTGGATCACCTAAGGAGCCAGCGCAGTGTCCCTCCCTAAGGCCTTCAGCCAAACACTGCCCCTTGGGCCTGCTCAGGCCAAGGGAAGGGAAGAAGCAAAGACAGACTGGAGCTCTCAACTATAATCTAGAGGGAAGCTTGGGGGACCTGGACTACAGCTCAGAACAAGGGTAGGAGAAAAAGAGGGAGGGAGAAAGCCCCAAGGGTTCAGACGAGGTGAAGACTTAGGTCACTACAGTGTCCCTATTGACTAAATATTATGGGACATGTCTTTAAACCTTTCTTTGCAACTTAGTTACGCTTTTGGGGGGAGGGGGCAGCAGTGCAGATTAAACTCAGGGCCTTCTTCCTAAACTACATCGGTAGTACATTTTTTTTTTATTCTATATTTTGAGCCAGGTTACAGCTAAATTCCCCAGGCTGGGCTCAAATTTGTAATCCTCCTGCCTCAGCTTCCGACAGTGCTGAGATTATACATGTGCACCACCACACCTGGATTTAGCTACTCCAGGGTTGAGGGCTGTTTAGGGTACAGGGTTTTGGAATCCCACCATCTGGATTCCAATCCTGGCTCCACCTCCTTCCTAGCTGTGTGACCCCGCATAAGGTATGTGACTTCTCAGAGCCTCCATTTCCTTGCATTTAAATGGAATGACTCTAAGACCAATGTCACCTGTTGTTTGTAGGGGCTGGAGCCCCTCCTTCATGTGTAGACACTGAGAGACACCATGACAGGCGCAGAATGAAAGCCCTGTGTTTGACAACCTTGTTCTCTCCATCCCATGGGTGGAAATGAGCACCAGGTTCCTGGCAGTGTTCTGTGACCAGGAACTTCCTCCGGAAAGCGCTCAGAAACTCCCCGGGGAATCGCCCTCAGAGCCCATCACACTACCTGCTGACATCTTCAAAAGTGATGAGTCTGACAGTGGGTTCAACGTTTACAAAACTAAAATGTCCTCCAGAGCCAACTCTGACAAAAGGAGAAGATTAAGGGGGATAATTCCAAACTGGGCCAAAGACAAGGCATGTGGCAAGAAGAGTGACAAAAATAAGTTCACCGTATAAGTTGGCTTTGAAAACAGCTCTAAAAAGGGGCCCCAAAAATCACTTTCAGCGCTGTCGGCCATTTTTTAGGTTTTAGTAACATAGGGAAAAACTTGCTTTGTACTACACTTGATCCTGGTCAAAAGGCCGAGAAGCAATAAGACTTGCTTTAAAATATTAAATATAAGTAATAGCTGACAAAATAATTACTACTCCATAAGGAGAAAAGAGGCATAGAATATAATATACCATACTAAGAGTGATCTCTATGATAGCAGTCTGGTATCACTCTTCTTTTTTTTTTTTTTTTTAAATGTATTCTGCTGTTTATTTATTTATATTTTACATTTATTTATTGTGTGTGGCCAGCTCAGCCCACCAGGGGGCGGGGCTGGCTGGCATGTGGTGCTGGGGGATCGAACTGTGGTCCCTGTGCTTTGCCAAGCTTGTTCCAAGTAGGTGCTTTAGACCACTGAGCCATCTCTCCAGCCCCAACTCTTCTTTATACTTGTGTTTTCTGATATTTCTATAATTAAGAAACTCTTATACGGGGGGAACAAATGTACCGCTGGCTAAGGACCATAGCCAGGGAACAAGACTGCTTTGAAGGCAGCACCCCTTCTGGAGGTAAACCTTCACATATTTTTTTGTTTGAGAATATTCTAACAACCCTGCAGACAGCGTATAATTATAGCAATCTCTCCTTGAAGAAAGGACAGTATTAGTCCTATAATTCTTCCTTCAAATAGCATTTCAAAACAGTGCTAGTACCCTGTGGGTGTTTAGTAAGTGTCTGATAGCTTCGTTACAGAGGATCTCTAGGTGTAGAGCTAATTTTATATGGCTGGGGCTCAGTGGGAAGAGCGAAGACACCCACACACCACAATGACTATAATTCCAGGCATAAATACTCTACAGTGACAGGGTTAATGACCACTGAAGGACAAGTCAGAAGCTGCCCACCAAGCAAGTACCACAAAGAACAGAATCCACAGTTCCACCCTGCACGTCCAGTCCCAAGGGCAAAGGGAAGGGTGCTTGTGTCCACCCCTCCCTGCCCAGCCTGCCTCAGTTTACGTACTGGAGTTCCGGTGGGAGCTGGCCAGGCTGTGCCCAGCCATCTCAGGAGGAGGCTGGTGACCACGATGCAGGAACTGCTGGGAGCTGAGCACGTGACTGGGGTGGGCCACACGGTTCATGCTGTGCAACACGTTGACCTGGGCAGAGTAAAGTGTCCATGGCACACAAGCCTCTAGCCTCCAGAGTCCAGCTCCACCTCTTAACTGCCACCCCACATCTCCCTAGGCATGGTCAGGAGTCCTCCAGGCTGCAATGTCCCTGCCCAGAGCCATGGATTTGAGTCCACTCCACCCTGATTCCTTGTTATGGAGGAAGGAGCTATGGAGTAGAGAACTATAGAGGTGGGAGCTATGGAGGAGGAGGTATGGAGGAGGGAGCTGTGGAGGAGGGAGCTATGGAGGTGGGAGCTGTGGAGGTGGGAGCTGTGGAGGAGGGAGCTATGGAGGAGGGAGCTATGGAGGAGGGAG